TCACAGCAGGACCAAGTACCATCCCTGACAAATTTTTGTCCCAAATCCCTAAATAGCCTCTGCAAGGATTGAACTCACAACCCTGGGTTTAACAGGCCAATGCTCAAACCACTGAGCCATCCCTCCCTTAAGAACACACAAGGAGCTATCTGGACTTCCTTGTCTTGGTTATCTCTCTTCACTCACATACCATACAAGGCAGCAAGGATCTTTTAGTGGTAGGGCACTTGATTGGCACTCACAAAACCTAGGTTCAGTTCTTGGCCCAGCCGTAGATTTTCTGTGTGACCCTGACTGAGTCAATTAATTTAACCCTGCAGTTCAGTTCCTGAGGTGGGGATAACAGGACTTTCTTGCCTCATAAGGGCATTGAAAGGATAAAATCTGTTAACAATTGTGAGGCACTATGGTACCATGGTGATAAGTCCTTAGCTAGATAATCTGTGATATCTTCTGCCCTTCTTGCCCCCATGGCTCAGAACATAGATTAGTGTTTGTTCATCAGCCATTAAATCTCTACTTGAGGCACTTTTTCCTTTCCCATTTTGATTTATTCATTCTCCCTCTCTCACCCCCTTTCTTTTCTAACATTAATGCTATTGTGTTTGTTTAATGGGGTTAATATGCTGCTGGTATGATAATGATCATGTACGGTTGTAATTATCCCATGTGATTAATTCTGCATTTGCTGAAAGGCTGTGAGGGTTATTCTTACCAGAGGGGAAGTTGGAACAATAGTGCTTGACAAGTGGCATTGTACATTAACACCAACCCCACAAGAAATGCACAGAGGGAAAGAATTAAGATTGTGCATGGAAAGAGAGAAGTCAAACCGAAGGGCAGGAAAGTGTGGCAGATGATTACAAGCTCTCTGGGGTAGGAGCTGTCCTTATGTTCTATGTCTGTACAGCACCTAGCACTGAGGGGAGTTGGCCCATGACTGAGGGTCCTAGATGCTATCCCAATATAAATAATTAATAATAAATAAAACAAGGACATTTATCAAGGCTGCAGGTCCCAGCTTCTACTCGCCATAAAATACCAGGTTTATGAGGAAAACACCTAGGACACTAAAAGATAAACCTTGAAACTATCCTAGGGGACCAGCAAAATAGCATCAATAGAACACTGAAGGAAAGGAGGATACATTTTTCTCTTTTATAGTGGAAGGAAAGATGGGCACAAGATACTGAGTTTTATGGGCATTAAGTGAAACAAGGTGTATATTATGCATGCTAATTTTATTTTACGTATTTTAGTGCTAAAATACAGAGAGTGTTGTCATGGGAAAAGGGACCTACTAAAGGAAAAACACTTGTGTGACACATTCTCGAGGTGTCCAGGACAGAGCATCACCTTCAGTGCGGGAGACAGGCCCTCACTGAGACAACAGTTCCCTGACACTGCCTGCCCATTAGCCATCCAAACAAACGGCTGGGGCTTGGCCAGCCTTTTCTTTGCCTTGCTAGTAACAATGGGGGTTGGCATGTGTGTGCGTAGAGCTCTTAAAGGCCTCTTCGGAATCCTTCTGAGGAGATGCTGCCTCAAAAATTCGAGCAGCAAAAAACAGCCCATGTGCATCATAATGTTGAGGTTTTTTTAAACATTCACACTGACGGATCACTGTCACTTGTGAAAGTTAAATATTGCAGCCTCCCTGATTTATCTGACACAGTTCAGCCCTCAACAGCATTTTGTTTGGAAGGTTTTTGTGATGCACAAGACAGAGCTGGGTGGGGACATTCTTTCCTTGCCCCCCTAAAAATGTTTCTTGGAGCTTTTGCTGACTCTAAGGCACTGCCACTAGATCACTGAAGTTCAACTGCCGTGCCGCCTGCCTCTGCGGGTGTGGAGGCTTCCTGAGTCACCGTGGTGCATCTGGGGAGTTGTGTAGGAACACGCATGCCACACGAGTAAGGCTAAGATTTTGTCATTGACTTTTACTAAGAATATCCCTGACAGGTCATGGGCAATAAAGAAAAATGTATGGAAGCCATGACCTGTCCATGACTTGTACTAAAAAGATGCATGATAAAATGGGGAGCTCAGCTGCGGGGTCCCCACATCACCTGCAGAGGCTGGGCCTGCTATGAGCTTCAGGTTCCCCTCCTTAGTCCAGGTGAGTGTGAGCTCCATGGTACCCCTGCCACCCGGTCGTGGACAGGAGCACTGAGGTATCCCCACCCCTAGCTACTGAAGCTGAATTCACACAAGTTCCTTGAAGTCACAGATAATGTGACTTCCACAACCTCTGTGGGGGGAAAAAAATCAGTCTTACACATGAGGCATGGAAGCTCAGTTAGGCAGGGCCCTCAGTGGGGCAGAGAGGAGGCCTGGTGTGAGGACAGAGTTAGACTGGAAGATTCATTACTGTGTAAGCGCCTCCTGCTGTTTTCCGTACGCTCTGTTGAGGGCAGTGAGTGGGTTTGGATTGACTAACAAGCAGTAGAGAATCCGAAAGTCACTGGACTACATGGTGCTTAATTTGTGCCAGGGCTGAACCCTGGCTCTTCTAGGTTTGGCAGCTCATAACCCCGGCATCTCTGAACTGGCCGTGTCAGTTATGGAAGTATAAAATTTGCTCACGTCTCCAGCCCCTCTTTCGTGACATTGGACTGCGGTAATACCCATGGAATGGTTCTGCAACTACTATGCCGTCTGTGTGCAAGTATGAGGGTGGGAAAGATTATTTCCCTCATGCTGCCTCCTCTGAGCATCTGCCCAACGCCATCTGGAGAGTAAACACTACATTCTCATTTCGACAGCTATGAGGCTGGCGGGGGCTAAGAGATGGGAGCTTACATGCCGCAAGTACCTCACTCCATACTCTCTCTCTGAAAGCCATCTCGCATGTACAATGCATGTTGTATCGTGGTTGGGTTTTCCACCGCCTTTTACATTCGCTGTCCCAAAGCCCTTTGTACAGCCCCACTGGTCTGGACACTTCAATTATGCTTTTCAAAATAGCTCTCTCAGCCCTGGATCCCAGAACGTTTTTCACTGAGAGAGAAATGGTGTTCTGTCCTCTTCAGAAATAAGAGGGATTTTTAATTTTTACTTAGCGAGGGAGGCTTGTTTAAACCTCTCATCCAACACCCTTACCAGAGCAGCAGTCTGGATCCCACAGTTCTTCCCTGGAGAGCCAGTGGGGGTGGCAACTGCAGTTTCCAGCATGGGATTGGAAGCCAAGTGTTCCGTTTTTCCTATCTCCTTTCACTCTTTTTTATAGGCTTTTCCCTCCTGACACTTTACCAGTAATTTTCCAGGCAAGAAAGCACGGTATAGAATGGAAAATAATAATGTGATCTGACTCTGGATGTGGAAGCATATTGCGCCAGATCTGGAACATCCCTGTGGTAAATTATGAATACTGTATGCTGGCCTGCCCACGGGGATGGTGTTTATTGTATGAATATGTTGATTTAATTCAAAGGTGAGTGATCTAGATACAGGCTGGAAGGGGGAGAACAGCTCAGGATAGCCAGTCATCCAAAAACACTGAAGGGCTTAAGGACACTGCCAGTCTTATTAACTTTGACAACACTGCCTGAGTCTCCATTCAGCCTATCAAACTGGTTTAACCAGCAATAATTGGGACTCTGCAAATTGGAGAACAAAGAATGTGGGAAGGTTTTAAAACAACATCTTTCTCAGGTATGTCTTCACTGCACAGTTAACCTAGGCTCTTACCCACGTTTTAGCCCAATCCCCACTATCATCCACACAGAAAAACCTCTGATCCAGGTTTGGAGACGCTGTAAGCTGGGCTTGTGGTTACAACTTGGCCGGGAAGAGTCCAGTTTGTAGTGAAGATGCAAGCTATATCATGTGAATGATGACAATCCTCCAGTGCCTTCCCACAGTTCCCGTGTATCCAGAAGGGCAGACAAATTCTGCTACAATGCACTGAGAGCGAATCACACAAGGGCTCAGTGCACGGTAGCACATGGCCCCAGAAATGTGTGTGTCACACACACACAGAGAAAGGTGCAACACCACTGAGGATGCAGTCACTTGGGGATGGCCTTGCAGTGTGGCTACCTCATGTGAGGCTAATTGGGGTGCCAGTCACCCAAGTAAACTCTGCAATGAAGCTGTACCCTCAGCAGGACAGAAGGCTACCGGAAAACCAAACAGACACAGGGCCCCCCTTGGTGAGTGAGTGAGAGAGAGGCCTGCCGAGATCCTCTTCCTGGGAGGGTAGGACTCAAGGCAAGACAGACATGGGTGGAGACTCTCGGTCATCTTAAAATCCCTCTTTTCTTACACTGTGTCCCCACTACCAAATAAATAAGACTTAGGTTTTAAAACAGCTGTTTGGGTCCTATATGCCACTGGTCACTGGCTCCTGTAAGTGCACAAAACCAGCTGAGCCTATAGGGCGAGAATGGGCCACACACAGGGTAGTATAGCCCAGGTCATGGTCTAAGAGTTGTAGAACTGCATGATTCTACCCAAGACTAGAAAGAGCACTAGACCGAAGACAGACCAGAAAGGGGCATCTAAACATATTTGAAGGTTTTCATTTAAATTCTAGGAATATCTTATTTCTCAAGATTCTGGCTAGCGACAGGTATCAGGTAATGGGACTAGGGCTTGATCCTGCAAGATCCTAAGCACTCTGACCAATATCTAGTGAAGCAATTAAGTACTTCAATGAACATTCTCATTTGTTTACATTTAAATATGTACTTAAATGCTTTGCTGGATCGGAAGCAAAGGTGCACAGCACCTTGCAGGTTCGAGCCCTAAGAGTCTCCATCTAAAGATCCCCAGTTCAGATCTAGCCCAGTCCACAGGGACCAAATGCAAATGTACCAGCACATGCATTTGGAATTAGACTTTTTATTTCACTATTAAATATAAAATTCAAATGTGCAGAAACTCAATTAGGAAATGCTTTAATTGAATAGCTCGATGTGGTAAAAACTGTATCAAGAAAGTAAAACCAGGTTGTGGCTCTATCAAACGAGGGTGCCTTTGTGAGAGACTTCACTTACCAGGCGGCCTGTTAATAGCAAGGTTGCGGAAATGACTGCCTTTGATCATTTCTACTGACAATCGTCCAGTAGTAGCATTGTACGACAATCCCACCAGCAACTCCGGAACGCCTCCATGTGACAGGGACTGTGTGGAAGAAGCACTATCGCTGTGAGAGATGGCCGACAGACTGATCTGAGAGTC